AAACTCGTAGTGCCCATATCTAGTCCGGAATGCCGTCTTGTACTGATCATCAGGGTGGACTTTTATTTAATGATAGCCCGATTTTAGATCTATCTTCGAGAAATACTTGCAGCCCTGCACCCGATCCAACATATCATTTATTCGGGGCAGCGGTTCTGCATTCTTCACGGTGACGACGTTAAGACCTGTATAGTCAATGCACATTCGAAACTCTCCCTCATTCTTGGGGACAAATAGAACAGGTGCTCCAAACGGGGATGAACTGGGCCTAATCCAACCCTTCATCTGACTGTTTGCGCAACTCCTCTAGCTCCCTTGGGGACATTCTATAGATGGTTCCCTTGGGAGTCCTACTGCCAGGCTCTATCTCAATGCGATGCTGGAGTGGCCGCGACACTACTCCTGTGTGTGGCTCAGACAAGTCTGCATAACTTTTTCAGTAGCTTGGCTATAATCGGATTGGTGGGTTCCTCTTCCTTAGACTCAGTGACAGGCCTAACATAGACCACAAAAACCTGTTCTTCTAATTGCTCCTTCTTTACTAATCGCGCAAACGTGGGAGCGCTGAGACAGTAATGTGCCAGAGGGTTATCTACTCCTGACACATGAAACAGGCGAGCAGTCTTAATTTCACCCGATGGACTAGGGAGCTTATACTCGTGCTCTCTCAAGTGGATTGTGACCCCTGCTGCCTCTTCCCAATCCATTCCCAGGACCACATTGAATGGGAGATTGTCCTCTACGAGCAGAGTCAAGGATTGGAGAACTCTCTCTACCTTCCCATCTTTCTCTAGGCGAAAGTATGCCTGGACTCCCTCGACGTAATCCTCGACTCGCATAGTGCGATTGTTTGCGAGGATACTGACTATGGGCTCTTCTAACTTTTGGACTTTGAAGTTCAACTTTAACTTTTGCAGTGCTTTACGGCTAATATACCTACGGGTGGCCCCACTCTCTATAAGGGTTCCTACCCTGCCTCTAAAGACCTCTACATCTACTAATGCTAGCTGTCCCTTTCCATTTTTTCTCATTTTGGCCTAGGCTGGCATCCTCTCCTACTAAAGACCTCTACATCTACCAATACTAGTTGTCTTCTAGCTTTTGGACCTTCAGATTAAGCTTAAGCTTCTGCAGCGCTTTTCGACTAATATAACTGCGGGTGGCCCCACTATCTATGAGGGGCCCTACCCTACCTCTATAGACCTCCACATCTACTAAAACTAGTTGTCCCTTACCATCTTTCTTCATTTTGGCCCAGTCTGGCATCCTCTCCTTCAGCTCTTTCGGCAGACCTGTGAGGGGAGTGCCTAGAGAGACTCTAACACAAGCAGTCTCTGGACAGCTACCTAGGCACTGGCCAACAACCTTTACCATAGACACATGTGGTTTGGGAGTTTGTATGTGGTGCGCGCACTCTTCTCCACATGGTCTAGGGTTAAGGGCAGTTGCAACCCCTACCGGCGGTTGCCTTTGCTGCCTCTGCAGCAGCTCATCGGGCTTCTCTATATTTGGGGCAGTACTTGATAATATGCCCCGGATCACCGCAAAAAATGCACTGATCCGCATCTATTCTCTTTTGCCACATAGTCTGCTCTAACCCCAGCAATTCCCAGGGTCTACCTTGCGGCAAGCCAGGGTGCCATTCACCCCTCCTGGGAGGTGATCGGTTGAAACGAGAGCGATTTTATGGGGGACCTTGACCCATGCCTCCCTCTTGACGATTTCCTCTACCGCCAAACCCCTGATCGCTTTGTCCCCGACCACCAGAGGCCCAACCCCCTTGGCCCCGACCTCCTCTTCCTTGCAACCTCCCTCAAGCCGCGACAACAACGTAAGTCCTCCCCTCACCATTGCCACTGTCCTCCTCCTCTAGGCCCCACTCTATTAGGCTATAGGGACCTCTTCCATACCACCCTCATCTAAAGTAAGGATCAAATGATCCTTGGCCTTGACTTGGCCAGAGATGGTACGACCCTTCCATTTCTGCCCCTTGTCCAAATCTTTGTGCCAGAAGGTAGAAGCTGGCATGGACTGGGCTTCAAAAATTACTACTTCCATACTCAGGGTATCGATTGACCTGGCTGGAAGACCGTTTTTGGACTGTGCCACGCAGCCCGCAAACTGATCCCGATACACACAGAGACGCAACCCTGGACTTGGCAAGGGACAATTTTTGGAAGGTCCCAACAAAAACAATAAAAAAATAAAAACTTCCAAAAAATCCAAAAAACAAACTATGTTATGCAGAAAACTAAACTGAACAACTTTTGCCTCAGGGTCACATCGAAATTTTTTACCAAATTTAGAATAAAAAATAAAATTTAAACATATATGATATTTCTTTTATTTTTGTTTATTTTTTTATTTTTGGCCCGGCCGGGCAAGTGATCCCGGGCCACTGTGGTAGCCTAGGTTAGAACTTAAAAGTAGTCCTATGTCACTTGCACCGTAAACGGCGTAAAGCTCCCTCTTATTCTACACCTCTTAAGTCAATTCACTGAGTCCTATGCAAGGAACATGAATGTGGACGAAGCAAAGAAATCCCAATTGCAAATCACATTGAAGTCCGAGTAGTCAAAGCAAGAGCAGATAACACATTGGAACCAAGCGACCATCCATTTGAGAACGATACAGCAAAAGTCGTGAGTCAATGTCCAAGCGCAATCGGTCAACACCAACAACATAACCCGAAGTAGCCCTCTCTCTTGAATGGCGCCAGGCGCCCTATCTACTCTACAGCCTATCCTACAACTACAGTCATGGAAGCAACCAGACGACTTGACGACCAGCTAGTGATGACGTCAACACCATTGCCGACCTCC